ATGAACAAACTTCATGTATTCGACGTCCACTATCAACTTTTAGACAAGATTTCTCATTACATGATGAAAGACGAGGAAAATCTACACAGAATCATGAAGATGAAGAAACTTGTGTTTGACTTGTTGGATGACAGGAGAGGATTAACGCTTAAATACATTTTTCCGCCTCATCACACTCCACAGCATGGCTTCGTGTGATTATCTTATGTCAGTAAGTGTTCAGCACAAGTCATTTGATACACTCCAGTGATAGACAAAACCTCTAATACATCCCCCGAACCTAAACACTAATATATTTCCACATATAGGAACAGAGATGAATGATAAAGTTCACGATATAAACAACCACTACAGGGAACAAGTCACAACAAATCAGACTTTAGAATCGATCAATAAACACAAAGCACAATACAACGTGATGGTGGTCCAGGAATGTGAATACGCCTGAAAGTGGTAGGAATTCTGATGACAGTGGGAGAACAACAGAGATGATGTGTGAAGTATGTGAATTGATGGTAGACGAATGGAACAGGATGTGCTAACAAACATGATAAAAATATAATGGATTAAAGTAAATCGAAAATGATGTGAATATAGATAATGTTTGAGAATAATATGTAAGAGAGTAAGCTGAAAGAATGAAATGGTAAATAAAGCTGTAGAAAAGGAACAACTCACTAGGGCAATACAAGGTGAACCACAAACTACTTTTGTACACATAACTCTGGTATCAATAAACGGATTGCTGTTGCTGCTGCTGCTGCTCCTGCATAACATAGTAATCTACTTCTTCTTTATCCATTGATTACCTTAAAAGGTATGCTTCAGTCGACGGCACGACCTGTATGAAGTATGTGTCTGCCAATGGCGCTGATTGGTGGCCTTCCATTTCTCAATGACAGGATTTTCGGTACATGTTCACAGATTCATTTAGTAAGCACACTCTCCATTCTTCCGATATACATCCTACTGCAAGTACACGTAAATAGATAAATACAACTGGAGGTAACATGAGGAGGTCTAACACGCAAATAAGTTTGTCTATTTATGTTCTTCATGTCATAGACAACTGTTCATTTCACAGCTTGATAACTTAGTGCGATGCGTGCATTCAGTTGGCGACTATTCTGTGAACTCCCTGCATCGCCTTTGAATGGTAGGCTAATCAACACGTTCTATTTCGGAACGCCTACATCATTCAATTTCTCATTTTTAAGTTTAAAGTGTTGATTGATGAAATTTATAGGGAAAATTGTCGAGCTCTGAAATCTGAATCCAAATTTTATATACGTGTCCAGATACACTATCGCCTATTTATAATTCCCGACACTGCTGATCCACCTGCGTCAGACAGCGTAAATATCAGGAGTTAACGCGAAGTATATATCAGGATGTTGTATTAGTCAACGAGCGAGCAAAAAGTCTTTTTCAGTACAACTAAACAAAAAATGTTCAATGAGTTGTTACATATATCAACACAATACAGTGAAATAAAATGCTACATAAGTCCCTCCCCAGAATACAGATATAAGAGGGAATATCTGTGTTCGATATAAAATATTATGAGAAAGGTAAATTCATTTTGAAGATATTAAAAACATAGAAGGAATGTTAAGGATATCTATTATCAGGATGAAAACTGATTGGAAGAGTGTTTACATAAAAATGAAGTGTATGACATTCGAAACACTAAAATAACTTTACCAAAGTAATAATATATCCGGAGATAAAAAAAATTAACAACCAAAATCGTATTACCTGGAACATTGTTAAGAAATAAGAGATTCGGAAGTCCGTGGTGCCCGGAAAAAAATTTTTCTTTTGTGTATGCGGAAAAGTCTGACAAAATCGTGTGGTCATGTTTTCAACAAGGTAATGAGCAAAAACGATAATAATGTTACTAGGGAATTGGTTTTATGAAATGTAAATTGTCTGAAAGTAACGTCGTGGCCAACGGACTCTTCTTCCGGATCTCGTGGTTCTGCTACCGTCGCTATTATTGGGTGATTCCGATGCCGTTGTTTCTGTTTTGACGGTGGTTTTCGGTGTTTCCGGTTGCTTCACTGCGGGTTCAGACTTGGTATCCGTGACATCTGGTTCCATAAACGCTGGTTTGATTCTATCAATGCTGACCGTTTCTCGTCTACCCGAGCGTTCGACCGTGACAACTTTGTCTGATTTACTAATTACCTTGAAAGGTCCTTCATACGGGGGCTGTAAGGGTTTTCGTACGCCGTCGTGTCGGACGAAAACGTGAGTGCAGTTTGAGATGCACTGAGGTACGTAAACTTGGTTGTCTCGGTATCGTGGGGACTGAGGTCGAAGTGTGCTCATGTGTCGCCGTAGTTGTTGTACATAGTTAGTCAAGTCCGGTGGAACGTCTGTTGCCGGGTTAAAATACTCTCCTGGCAATCTTAAAGTAGTTCCATAAACTAACTCAGCAGTACAGCAGCCAATGTCCTGCTTGACACTCGAACGTATACCAAGGAGTACTAGTGGTAATTTGTCACTCCACTTGTCATCAGTCTTTACTGCCATCAGTGCTGCTTTTAGTTGTCGATGGAACCTTTCGACAATACCATTGGATGCAGGATGGTACGCAGTGGTTCTTATGCGCTTGATCCCGAGAAGTTCAGTTAACTGTTGAAATAGACTACTCTCGAACTGCGCACCTCTATCTGTGGTGATGACACTTGGGACACCAAAGTTAGAAATCCAGTGTTGGATGATATTTCTCGCTACTGTTTCGGCAGATATATCCTGCAGAGGTATTGCCACTGGCCATCTCGTGAATCGGTCTACACATGTTAAAATGTAGCTAAAACCATTTGACGGAGGTAGTGGTCCAACGATGTCAACGTGTATATGGTCAAATCTGCCATCCGGTGGGAAAATCTTCCCGTAGGTGAAAGAATATGTCTTTGCACTTTCGATCGCTGGCACGCTAAACAAGCTCTGGACCACTGTCGAAGATCTCGATTCATCTTTGGCCAGACGTATCGGTCAGTAATTAACTTCACCGTAGCTCGAATACCAGGATGTGAAATGCCATGCATCTTAGAGAAGACTAATCGTCTCATTGATAAAGGCACAAACGGGCGCGGTTTACCCTTGGATACATCACAGGTGATGGATACAGAGTCATCAAGTGTCACTTCTTCAAGACGTAATGAGGTGTTCACATTGTTTTTCAAATGTTTCAAGTCCTCATCCGTGGCCTGCAACTTTGCCATTTCTGCTAGGTCAATACGGTCACGTTCTAAGACGTTTACGTACATACGAGACAAAGCATCAGCTGCCTCATTTTTGCTGCCTTTGATATACCTTATATCTGAAGTGAATTGTGAAATAAATTCTAAATGTCGAATTTCTCGGGGCGAGTAGTTGTCATGCTTTGCATCAATTGCTTTTGTGAGTGGCTTATGGTCGGTGAATACTATAAATGAGTACCCTTCGAGCATATATCTGAAGTGCTTGATAGCCAAGTAAATCGCCAGTAGCTCTCTGCCGAATGTACTGTATCGCGATTGAGAAGCATTAAGTCGTTTCGAGAAGAAAGATAATGGTTCCCACTGACCGTGAACAAACTGTTGTAGTACTGCGCCTACCGCAACATTTGAAGCGTCTGTCATGATGGCTAGTGGTGCTTCTGAATCACGACGAGAGAGAAGAGTTTCAGAACTTAGAGCCAGCTTCAGTTTGTCAAAAGCATCATGGGCCGCTTGGGTCATGTGAAACACTTTGGCTCGTCCTTGCAATAAATCTGTCAGCGGTTGGGCTACTTCAGCACATTTAGGTATGAAACGTCGATAGAAGTTTATTAACCCCAGAAATCTTCGCAGCTTTCGAAACGAGTCTGGAACAGGATATTCTCGAATTGCATCTACTTCTTGCGGAACCGGTTTAACACCGTTGGCATTAACAATGTGACCCAAAAACTGTAGGGATTCCTTGCCAAATTCGCATTTCTGCGGATTGATTGTAATGCCATATTCACGCAGTCGTTCGAAAAGCGTCCTCAGATGTTGCAGGTGCTCTGTTTCAGATGCGCTAGCTACTATTAAGTCATCTATGTATGCACTGACGAAAGGTAAGCCATGGAGTACCTGATCTATAAATCTTTGGAATGTTTGAGCAGCATTTGTCAAACCAAACGGCATACGAATAAATTCGAATAGTCCGAAGGGGTAGTGATGGCCGTCTTAGGAACATCATTGGGTTCCACAGGAATGTGATAGTAAGCTCGCACGAGGTCAATCTTGGAAAAAATATTTACTTTTGTCATAGAGTTCATAAAATCATGTATGTGAGGAATTGGATACTTATCAGGGACCGTACGCTTATTCAACGCTCGATAATCACCGCAAGGCCGTATTTCCCCTGATGCTTTTTTAGGTACCATATGCAGGGGTGATGACCATGGGCTCTTGGAAGGGCGTATAACTCCCAACTTTAGAAGTTTATCAAATTCCTGTTTTGCTATCTGCAGCTTTTTAGGGTCTAAGCGTCGAGGTTTTGATGAGACTGGAGGACCTTTTGTAAGAATATGGTGCGTCACCGTATGTTTTGGAGAGGACTTCGTGTAATCCGTTTGAGTGAGCTCGGGAAATTCTCGCAGAAGGATATCGTACTCGGAAGTGTTGTTTATTGGAGCTACGACTAAGTTTATTGTTTTTGTCTCCGTAGCGATACCGGTGATAGAAAATTCACCATTACGGCTGACTAGTCTATGGCGACTAGAGTCGACCAATAGTTCGTAGTGTTGAAGGAAATCCATGCCAATGATAGGCGACGATATGTCAGCTATGACGAATTCCCACTGGAATGGTGTATGAAAGCCAATGTCTAGGATCAAAATTCTGGTCCCATATGTAGTAATAGCAGATCTATTTGCCGCTTGTAGTACCAAAGTTGGGTTGGGATGGCGTTTTTCGGAAGGTGTGGGTGGGATCACGCTCACTTCCGCTCCAGTGTCAACCAGAAACTGAGCTCCAGTCTTCCTATCCGTCACTCGAAACAAACGACTGTGTTGTTGTACGCCGGCGACAGCAGTCGTCACTGATCGCCGGCCTTTCCGTTTCCCGATGAAAAGGTTTTAAATCGCATGGTAACAAACAACGACGTGCTTTACTGCCAAACTTCTTGTGATACCAGCACGTGCTACTTTTAGACGCAATTCTACTCGTGGTCCTATCACGACTACGGGATCTGCTTCTACAGAACTTCGGTGACCGTCGGTTTAACTGCAAAGCCGTCAGTTGTCCTGTAAGTATGTCTATCTTCCTCTCTAAAGCGGCCACTCGGTCGTTTTGCGTTGGCTCAGCAATACTTTCAACCGGTTTAGGCATCCTTTCGTACATACGGTCAGCGATGTCAGCCAACCTGTCAATGTCAATGTCCGCATCTCCGACAGCTAATATCTGCTGAATGCATGAAGGAAGTCTCCGCAGCCAGAGCTGGTAGAATAAACGGTTGTCTACTTTCCTATCTTTCAGCAGACTTTGCATATGTCGCTTAAGTTGTGAAGGTGTTCTGTCACCGAGGCATATGCTACTTAGTAGTTGATCGACAGCCTTCTGGTCAGATAACGAAGTAGCTTTCAGCACCTCCTGCTTCAAAACATCATAAGGTGTGTCTGGGTGGGGCTTTAGTAGTGTCTCCCTTACTTGTTCAGCCACTTCTTCCGGCAAAACAGAGCTTGTGTATCCGAACTTTGTGTTTTGTGAAGTTATATGATTGGCCATGAAGAAATGTTCTAGACGGACAAACCACAATTGCGGGTCATTAAACTTAAAACAAGGCATAGGAAGATTAATGGCACCCACGGACCCTAAATTCGAAAAGTCTTGATTATGAGAGTTTAAGGACATCAGTACTGGTACAGCAAAAAAAATATTTAAGAACAAGAGCAGGAAAAATACGATAAACAAGTATGTCAATGCCTACCACAAAGCAGCCATAGAAATTCTCAGTATATATGTATATCCGTATTGTTACAGTCATTAATGACTGGTTTCAATATTCAACTGAAAACAACAATAATATCCACCCGTGAAACTTGCGACAGTTTAATCACGTAGGTCTCACCGGTTTTTCGAGCTAGAAATCTGAGTCCAAATTTTATATACGTGTCCAGATACACTACCGCCTATTTATAATTCCCGACACTGCTGATCCACCTGCATCAGACAGCGTAAATATCAGGAGTTAACGCGAAGTATATATCAGGATGTTGTATTAGTCAACGAGCGAGCCATAGTCTTTTTCAGTACAACTAACAAAAAATGTTCAATGAGTTGTTACAAACATCAACACAATACAGTGAAATAAAATCCTACACTCTTTCCTATCTAATACGGTTATGCAGGTTTCTTTCCATATAGCTTTCCAAGAGTTTCAGTGTTCTTCCACACAGATCTCTTCAGGGATGTTCCTCGATACCTCCCACTTTGTCTTGATGGCTGGCTGACGTGAAGATTTCCTGTATAGTTTCGTCCTTCAGTTTCTGTTCTGTGTGTTGTACTTGAACTGTGGTCTATCACCAGCTTCCTTGAAGGCTTTTAACTTGATTTCGAAGGTAGGTTCCTTGCACTAGATAGTAGTGTGTGATGTGAACCTACATCTGCTCCTCTTCTTCACCTTGTGTCAAGTAGGCTGACTGCGTCTCCACTTTCTTCACATTGAGATGAAGTCGATCTGCTTTTTAATGCATTGTGTCAATCTGGTGAAATCCATGTCGCTCGCTTTGTGGATATCCTTGTGCTTGAACACACTGCCTGACTCCAATCACCAAATCGTTGAATGCACAGAATTCTGCAAACAATTCTCCATTCTCGTTCATCACCTCACCTCACCGAGCGCTTCTCGACCCATGATGGATGGAGTTCTCTTCCTGTGTTGTCTGCTCCCAGTTTGGCATTCATGTCACCCCACCCATTAGAATGGATTTGATGTTGCCAACTGTGGTGGTGTCTTGTCCAGTGTTGATTACAGTTGTCTGTAGAATTCCTCCTTTTTCTCTTGCTCTGCATTATTTGTAGGTTCGTGGAGTAGCATTGTGTGATTGTGACCTTCCTTCCTTTTGAGTTGAATCCATCTTGCTGTCATTATCCTGCAGGAGGAGATTGGTTCCCACTGAATGAGAGAGAGCCTTCGATGCTGTTGGGGACATCATGATAGCCACTCCCTCAGTGTACTCGTGGTTGTCGTCTAGGTGACAATATCGGAGTAGATTATTAACTCCTCTCCAGTTGACAGTTTGGAGAGTCCACTCCCATTCCATCTGCTTTCGCAAATTTCAAGCACTTCGATGTGATACCTCTTCATCTCGTTTACAATCTGGGCTGCCTTGCTGGGTTCAAACATCGTGTGGACATTCCATGTCCCCACGTTTACTTTCGCTTTCATCTAGGGAGAGAAGATACATCGGCCAATTGGCTTCGTGAAGTCTTTCACCAGGTGGCGTCATTTCGCCTCTCCGATTCCAGGGAGGAATAAGTTTGTTTTTATTTTATATGTATCGTTTGTGCTTTGAAGTTTGTTTAGCTGTTAGATTTGTTTTCCGGGGTAGGGTTGCTAGCCGTATACCCAACCTTCCCTCTTTACCCGGGCTTATGACCGGCTAGTAACTAGTGAACTAGTTAACCAGGCGAGGTTTTTCCCATAACTAACTGAGGTAAAAAAGAATATTATTATTTATGATTTCTCCCTTGGGTTCTTAGTGGAACATTTGGTTTCAGTAGCACGTCACCATTTCACTCTCTTCTCTGCAGTCTTTTGGACTTGACTCCACGACTGCCCACAAGCTTTCGTTTCTTCCTCACACGATCTCCTTCATGTCACACTCAGACGCTCAACTCGTCGCTTCCCATTTCAGCAGGTACCTTGCCTTCCTTCCTTCCAAACCTTCAGCAATAGTAATGTATGTCCACTGATGTCTCTGCATCTGTTTTCAGTACATCTGGAGGAATTCCATCTAGTCCTGCTGCTTCCTCAGATTTCAGCAACTTCATGGCGTTCAGGACTTCACGATTCTTTTTGTCGGAGAACTTGTGTTCACTTGCAGTTCTGCTGTTGCTGGTGGTATTTCTAGACGAGCTGCAGGTGGGGGTGGTCGATTCAAGAGCTTTTTAAGTGGTTAGCCCATTGTTTCCTTTGTTTCTCCTTTTTGGTAACTACGTTTTCTTCGCTTTCATTAATTTCATCTGTGTGGATCTCTTCCTGGTTATTTAAAATAAGGTTATGACATCTCTTTTACCTGAAAAAGGAATGATTACGTCACAATTGTAACCCGTTCACTATGTTCAGGAAAGTGAGATGTAGTCAGTCTGACGTAGTAATTTATAGCTTAGTCTGCAGATTGTCATCCCACGTGATGGTTTAACAGCTTTCGGTCAATCTAAATCTTCAATTACAAATATCAGTGTTTTAAACCATACTTTCTGCCAATGTTGTCAACGGTTCAAGGGTACTGTCATCATTGTGATTTACCTACCAGACCATCATAAAATCATTCATCTCTACACAATTTTATTTGACTTGCCTTAAACTACTTGCAGATCAATGAAATGTACAGTTCAAAGAAAGAAATACGTTACTGAATGAGGTTGTAGACCTCCATTGACTCACATGGCTATGATATGTTTTACGCGTACCTATTCAAAGTTTGCTTAGTAGCACAATGTTCGCTGATATAGGTTAAGCCCAGATAAAAGGTTGAACACTGCTAGACTGATATAAATCATCTTTTTATCGAGTCTTTGATTGTTATTCTCAGCCAGTTTGGGGTCTGTGTGATAACTAATATCGATGGTTGCGGAATCTAGGTGACATTGTTCAGAATGAATGTCTTTGATGCTGATACACTCACATATCTTGATAATAATCATTATTGGAAGTTTCATTATTGTTTAATCTCTTCTGATACTTCTCCAATTAGTACTTCCTACCAATTCCCACTACTTTTTTCCTTAATTTCTCTAACTATCATCTTGGTGTCTTGTATCTGAATGTACTGATGTTGGGTGTGGAACCTTGGACGATTACGCGATAATATTAGGTCCCATGTTCATATTGAAACGAAATTATACGAATCCATCTGTGATTTACTAATTTTGTCATTAATTTTATCCTGTTCTATCGTGAATTACTTTGATACACTATGATAGACAGTGGCCTAAATTGAAATCAACATTCTAAGTTATCAGCTGTTAAGATAGAAGTTTGCTATTTCGGCCTTTATTTATTATAAATGTGCCGTCAAGAAAAACCTTATTGGACAATTTTTTGCCCTACAATTGTCCAGTCAAAATAAGTATCCAACTTTTGACCTAATGGTTTTATATGTTGATGAGAACTGTATATAAATAATGTTTATTTCGAATAAAGTTGTCCTTCTTGCAGTCATATTGCAAAAATTCCAACAGTTACTCTAGAAAGAAGGATTTATTTGTCACTCTACAGGTTTGAAACAATTAAACCCTTTTGTGAATCTCCATAACGTAATTAGAAGACGAAGATTATCTGAAACAATGTGTGTGATGTGTATACGCAAAACACATATCGAACAACCGATCCCACACACATTTACTTGTGAAATCAATATATGCTAAACTGAAAAGTGGGGGAGGAATACAGCCATTAAGACAGTAGGGGAATAAATTTAAGGAAAATGAGAACAAACAGAAAGTGACATAGTTGATCCGAATCTGCATTAAAAAACACTAATGGAAAACAGAGACGCATTGAGGTTTATAACCCATTGTAGAAGTAAGGAAACACCAAACCCAACTCTGTACGCGGTTCTTTTGTGCGAGCTTGCTACTTGGATGCCATCATTCTGCATATGGTAAAACCGAAAATTCCGATCCGCTATGTAGACGATAATTTTGTCCTTATCAAAGAAAATGATTTAGAAAACAATCACAGTTTGATCAACAACATTTTCCCTGACATCAAATTCACAATGGAGAAGAAGTCAAACGACCAAATACCATTCCTGGATGTTTTAGTCAGTAGGACAAAACGCCGAATAACTGGAAACCCAAGTGTACAGAAACCCGATGCACACCGATCAAATCCTCAACTACAGTAGCAACAACTCAACAATCCACAAAATTAGTTGCCTGCACACTCTATTCAAAAGAACCAGAACACACTGCACTGCAGTACAACAACCTCACAGAGAAACCATGAAAATTACTTCATATCTATCCTAAAGGAGAACGACTGCACATGAGACTTCATCACAACATGCCTATCTCGTACAACATCAACTACAAACTCATCGACAGAAACCAACAAATACATCATCCTACCACACATAAAGAATATATCAGAAATCATGACAAGATTACTCAGAACAAGTGGAATTGATGTGACTCATAAACCAACAAATCACCTCCAAACACAAACAAGAGGATCCAACAACAATCAGAGAAGACAAACCAAATATCATTTACAAAATCAACTGCAATAACTGTAGTCAACACTCCATCAGACAAAGTGGTCGCTGTATTCTCCTTCCTCATGCACATGAACACCAATCGGCCATTAAACATCACACATGACATTTCATTACTCATTTCAACGCATGTGGATAACAACTATGGACATGAGTTCAGTTTTCACAATGTAGTGCTGATCTTGGACGAAGAGAGGAAACACAAAGAGTATCAGAGAATTCATAGAAGCTTGGCATTCACGTCGGTCGGTCAGTCAGTCAGTCAGCAATCAATAGATGTATACACATAGACTCAACCTATCAACCGATGAGAAAAGCGATAAGTGACAGAAAGGTCGGAGGTGAAGTAGAGGAACAGCTAACAGGAAAATCGATGTGGTCAATGACACCATAATCAGAGCAAACAAGCAATGGCAAAGCGGTTGATGAGGACAAGCTGTTGAATCAGTCACTGACAGACAGATATTGACGGTTCACTTCATAGTGAAGTTAGTGCTGATGATTTTGTCTAGAAAGACGATGGAAGCTCCACGATGAAACAACCGAGCTCGGAGAACACAACAGAATCAAAAAATATGCTACTGAATGACTTGAGTAGTATATTTCCCACTACTTTTCATCAATTTCTTACTTATTGTATTAGTCGATGAATAAATCTATTTTTGATACTACGATGGAAGCTCTATGATTAAACAACCGAGCTCGGAGAACACAATACAACTAATTAAGTTTTGGGTGCGTTTTTATTCAGGTGTCTCGCAGTATAATGAAACATTTTCCTCGAAGAAGATTGAAGATATTTTATCGATAATGTGTTGAAAGTGAGCATGAGTGTAACCCAGAGTACTGTACTTCGGTGTGAATGAGCGGGTGGTATCATGAACCATCATACAGCTGATGACCTTTTACATAAACAATTGTACTGGATTGAAATCCAGAAATTCTTTCAGATCTGGGAATTCACTATACTGACAAGATCCTTAGGGTAGAAAGTTCTAATTTATGGTTTTCTTGTCGATGATATCTCGAACGAAATTGAAACTTACTCAGCAATCACACGTACTCATGTACAGTAGGAAATGAGCTACATTTATTGTGTATGGTTTAAAGGGACTAAATACTTGCCTAAACGTCAGCAGACAGAGCATAGTTTCAGCTACTGATCCACTGGTTAGTCTAGTCTAGTGACTAGTCTCATCAACTCAACGCAGTTAAGAGTAGGAATTAAGCCACTATATAAGACTGAAGAATTAAACTGGGTAACAATTCAATATGAAATTCATTCTCCATAGTACCAGATGATTACGTCATTGCTATGCCTGTCATCTCAGTTATCAGTTAGTAAACGAAAAGCGTCTACCTCAGAATAATGTTCATCGTCTCAGGCATACAGCTCTATTTGAAAACACAACATACTATACTTCTTATGCAACCAATCATGATTACGATTATATAATCTGTTAGTTATGTCTGAACGTATCAGTTTGCCCACACTCCACTTTTGTATTGTTGTCACTCTTTAGCTCTTCCTCTCTCACACACACAAACACATTGTCTTCTATATTTTTCACTATATATACAACCAACAAACTTGTTACAATGTGGAGGAGTGTAAGGAAAAGGCTGTTACTGAGTCCATATTATTAAGATTTAAAGGGGAGAAATACAACCTACGCATAATTTACTAGTGAAACAAGCATTTTTCTCTACCCATTTCTGTCTGTTAGAATATTAGTTGTGTTTATAAAACTATCAAATAAATAGAGAAAGTAATAAAAACTACTGACTAACTTACTTGACTGGCTGATTGACTGATCGACTGACTAACTGACTGACTGACTGTTTTAAAAATGGTGGGATATTGGTGGGAATTACAAAGATTCAATATGTACGCACCTATTTAAGTCTAGTTACATAATAGTTGTTCAATGAAACTCACTTTATTCAATAGATAATTTTTCTCCTAATAACTTATTTAAAACTTTATAGTTTATATATTAAGTATTTAAAGAGTAAATTTTGTTTCAATCTGTATCGTTGATCACTATTTTACCTTTCAAATATAATTGAAACATTCAATAGTCAATCTATTCTTCACAAATGAACATTCATTGAAACATTGAATTTGTCTTGATGTTATTTAATTCAATTGAATGATTACATTAAATAGATATTATGTAATATGATGATTTTAATATAAAAAAAAATTATTTATTATGAAATAATGACTTCAAAAATGCATAATGATGTTATGAATGGATTAAATCAAACAGGAAGTACAAATATAACATCATTAATTGTTCGTGAACGTCTTAAACATTGTGTACTTAATAAACGTAAAAGTAAAGAACAAGGGATTGGTATAGTTGGCAGTACATCATCTATGACTGGAATGATACAACCGGTAAATACTAAAGATAATCCTAGTGATAAAGATGTCTGTCAAGATAGTAAAACTATAACCTCAGAATTAGTTAAATTGAATCAAGTGAAAAATGAATCAGATGATTATATAATAACCGATAAATGTATAGATTATAATCAAAATGTGATGAGTGATTGTATTATTACTCCATTGATAGGTGATATTGAAAATGTTCCTTCTGGAAGTCATAAAAGTTTATCAAATCAAATCACTTCATCATTATCATCATTGAATACTAACAATAGTAATAATAATAATAAAGTGAATATTTTTAATCAGACACAACCGTATCATTTCAGTCAAGAGAGTGATCCAAATTATGTGAACTTTCAAAGTTTACAGACATCGATTATTGGTGCGAATGTTTGTAGTAATCTGATTATACAACATAACAGTCTACATAATCATCATCATCATCACCCTCATCATCACCAACAACAACAACAACATAAAGTGACTGGTGAGAATCTGAGAAAAACAGTATCAGAGCCAAGTTTAAAAATGCGTAGTGGTTCAGGTGGAGTACAAAAAAGTCGATATAAACCAGATAGACGTTATTTTAGTGCAAATTCAGCTACAGCTGCAGTTGCAGCTGCTACAATAGCTGTATCAAATGATCCATTATCAGTTGTAAGTCTTTGGCCACAATTAACTTCAGCATTTCAACATGCAAATCTAGTACAAAAAACAATTGGTAAGAAATCAATATTACCGCCACCATTGACACCATCAACAACAACAACAACAACGCAACAACAACAAGAAATCAGTGGTAATAGTGTGCCATCAGTTGATACTGATGAACACTTATCTAAATGTGAAACACAACCATTGATATCACCTTTATCAAAAACGTTACAAGATGTCATTTTAACAGAATTTATGAAAAATAATCCACTTACCACTTGTTATACTGATTCACAAATAATCGATACTATAAATCCATTAGGTGAATCAAATATAAGTCAGTGTATATTTAATTCAATAACCAATGGATTTTGTTCAAGTTTACCAAATTTAACAGGACAATCTCAACGATCTTTACAACGTAATAATCATTCAAATATGAATAATACAATTACAATGAATCAATCAACAAATAAATCAACTCCAATTAATCATAATGTTACTGAATCTACTTACGATTTGACTGAATTGAGTCAACAAGATACAACTATGTCAGATGTTAATCATTCAACAGATAACCATGATGAATTACATGAAGATTTAAATAAAAATAATCATATATTTCCATATCGTAGACATCAATCTATTGGATTACTTAGTCGAACAAGATCAGCTCCATTAAGTTTAGCTACAGGTTATACAACAAATCGACATTATCAATTACATAATCTTACCGGTGTACACAATTCAGTAAATCCAGCAACATCTGTCACATCAGCAGCAAATATTTTAGCTATGGAAGCGGCAGCATCAAATTTTACTAATCAATCACAGAATTATTCAATTAATTCTAATCAATTAACTATAGATAATAATTTATCTGAAAAAAATAAAAATGTACAGTCAACAATAGACACTGAATTATCATCAAGAAGTAAAGTTGTCTTACAGTTACGTAAAAAGATTTTAGAGAGGTGAGTTAAAATCTACTCTCTTCAATAATTCGACTAAGAAACATGCTTATATTATTTTCTAAAGCTGTACAATCGTGTTTATATACATATCAGAAATATATAACAATTGTCTATTATAAAACAATAGGGTATAACTACGCAATTAACCTAGTGCTAGAAAATTGCAATCAAGAATGCAAAGTAGTTGCGTAGTAATCTTCTGGACAGTAGAAATAACCAGGAAGGAAGGAGTTTGACAAGTTCCCAAGGAAATTTTAACCATGAATCTAGAATTCAAAGGAGACAGCACAGCTGAAGTACTGAGAAATCGTCTAGCAAGATGTATCAATAGTACCTTCTATGCTGCTAGACTGAGATTGATATTCTCCAGCCAACATCTAATTCGTCAATGCGTGAAGGATAGGCTTCCACATATGTCCACATCTGTATGTATCTACAAGTTCACATGTTCCTATGAAGCTGACTATATTGGACGTTGTAAGCGGGACCTCCAAAAACGTGTCAGTGAACACTACCTGGTTTGGCTTACCAGAGGCGAGAAAAGCAAAACGACTTCATCCACATGTGAACATCTTATTGAATTCGGTCACTCAGCACCTCGAGATTCATTCGTTAAAATTATTTACAAAGTTAGTTTGAACTAGTCCAAAGGTTTACGTTTCCACCACTTATGCATAGCTGAAGCATTAGCTATACATGAACAAAAGCGTTTTGTGAAACCACTTTCTCTACCGTGGCCTTAACAATTCATTTAATTGATTTCGTCCATTCCATTTCACTTTGGCGTACTTCTCTTTTATCATCATCATCCTTATCACCGATTTTCACTTCATTGACAACATTTGACCCATATCTCACTTTCTAATATCAATTCATTCCTTATTCATTAACCTACCTTCAGCTTAAATATCACCACTTTACAATTCTTCGACGACACTTGTCTCTTATCTCACCACTTGTCATCAGTTCATTCTTTATTCACATTGACCAATTTTCTATTCCTTTCACTTGAACAAATATCACCACCTACACGGATTGTATATCCTACATATTGACTGAGCAACTCACTTATCAGTGCAATTATCTGTCACTTCACAGAGTATAAAGAGGACTGTACACGTAGATAACCAAGTCGTTGAGAAGAAATGCCTCTGCTTCACTGATACATGCCTTGTTCTTGTTGATGAACAAGTGGGTATATTTCGTCAAATGTCATATAATGAATAATACTATTTCACTGTATGAAAATACATCCAGTATACAAGTGAAAATGGAGTCGAACTTGGATGTTGTATTTTTAGATTGAAAGTCTTTTATTGCCTAATCAAATTATTTTTCTTCACTGATTATTATCCAATTAATTGTAAAATAAAAACAGCCTACATAAAGAAATATTTTAATTCTCCTTTTGATAATATATCATAATGCATATTGTAGTCTAAGACGTAGGTGGAACGAATGGGAATGAAGGCGTGATTGTGTAACATACTACACCGCATCCAGAGAAATTCGCATACCGGATATATTGACATTACTGATTGAGTATACAAATTCAAAGGAATCTAATAAGCTATGCGTGTTTAACTGTTTTCTGACTGGTTGGAGGACGTCAGACAACCACTTGGCGATAGAATGATATGGTGAATTGTTTATCTTCAAAATGTGACGAAGAGGAAGATCTTCTCTATGGAGTTTCGGGAGACCATATAAGTGCGGAGTAACAGAACCAAAAGTTCATAACTACTCGAATAGTTCGGGCTTGATGACAGACACACTCTTCATTTTCTTTAGAATTTGGGTGAACTTTCGTTCAATTTGTTCACTGGCATCATCAAGTGGACGTTCAATATTTGCGTTTCTTATCTACCAACAATTTCCACCTTCTCAAATTCCTTGCCTTCCTCGTTATTTCTACTGTCTGAAGGATTATAATGCAACTATTTTGCATTCTCGATTCCCCTTTTTTTTAGCACTAGGTTAGTTATGCAATTATACCCTACTGTTTACTAAAAGACTACTGTTATATGTTTATGATACATACATGAATACGATTGTACAGCTTTAGGAAATGATATCGCAGGAAAGAGAGAATGTTTCTTCGCTGAATTATCTCTTCTCTGTTCTTAATTGCTTAAATCTAAGTTCACTGGTAAAGGAATGACTGAAACAGGTACAAATAATTGACAGAACTGACCATAAGATCATTTTGACTGTATGATATAACTTATCAGAAAGGTTTACATGTTTGTTATTTGTATAACAAAGTAACTACCTAGTATAAAAGGTTATTAACAGAATTTGGAAGCTTAACTGAAAACTCTCCTATGTTGTATTCAACTGTCACTTCATTCTATCCACATTTTCAGCATTTTTTCATCATAGTTTCTGTAAGACTAAACTTTTATTCAACTGTAGTACATTCTGTCTAATACCCAATACTTGATTTTTTAATTTCTATGAACAATTACTTTGAGACAAGTATTTTTTTTAAACAATGATTATGGTTTCCAGGCGAATGATTTTCAACATCATAAAAGAAATCAAGGTGGATAATTCTTTCAAGAGATTCTCTTTTCAACAACGTTTTAATATGAAATTGAAGAACATTTAAATCAGTTCCATTTTTCAGTATCTAAGAGGGTTGTATCAGTTTACAGAGGATTTTTTCTAAATGTCATATCAACGCAAATGCCTTTTTTAAAACCCTTTAAATTATACAGCGGAATACACCCATTTCCTCATAGGAAAAGACAAGACGTGGTTGCAGTGAAGAAAAACTTTTCTTCTCAACAAAGTCATTTACTAAGCTGTACTTTCGTAAATATATGTTACAATGGGCAGAACATACCAGAATTATTGCTAGTTAGGAGGCAAAATATATTGGATAACTAAAAGAAGGTTAATTAATACACATTTGGGTTTGGAGTAGGAAAATAGACAAAGGACTATGGAGATACATGTATAGTTATCTAACACAGAATGAATCTATGATAGTCAAGGCCTTATGATGGCCATGGAAAAGATAACGATTGGATGTACCTCTTTTGGACACATAATGCTGGTTTGAACTTCTGGGTGACTAGTGCTTCAGCTATGAACAAATATGCCTTGATCTTACTCCCTTCGAATGGTTTTATCGAACCGTGTGGAGAATCTTGAATGAGCTCTCGAAAGGAGCTAAGTGGCCTGAGTTCACGAGGTGTTGTGTTATCGAACTGAAGACACATTTACGTTCTGTCTTTGGTAGCTAGGCTGGGTAGTGCTCGTGGTAAATTTTACAAGCAGATGTATGGTACGACCTATGTACTCAGCCCCACAACAGCAAATAAACTGGTATACACAAATTCATGTGGCTGAATGAGGCCTGCCGGTGTCCGCGAATACTAATCAGCCTGACTGGCAAGGGGAGAACAGAGAAATGTATCTTCAGTTCAATAGCACAACACCTCGTGAACTCAGGCCACTTAGCTCCTTTCGAGAGCTCATTCAAGATTCTCCACACGGTTCGATAAAACCATTCGAAGGGAGTAAGATCAAGGCATATTTGTTCATAGCTGAAGCACTAGTCACCCAGAAGTTCAAACCAGCATTATGTGTCCAAAAGAGGTACATCCAATCGTTATCTTTTCCATGGCCATCATAAGGCCTTGACTATCATAGATTCATTCTGTGTTAGATAACTATACATGTATCTCCATAGTCCTTTGTCTATTTTCCTACTCCAAACCCAAATGTGTATTAATTAACCTTCTTTTAGTTATCCAATATATTTTGCCTCCTAACTAGCAATAATTCTGGTATGTTCTGCCCATTGTAACATATATTTACGAAAGTACAGCTTAGTAAATGACTTTGTTGAGAAGAAAAGTTTTTCTTCACTGCAACCACGTCTTGTCTTTTCCTTTCAATAACAACACATTTAGTATCAAAGCTTAGAAGTCAAATTGACCATCATATTGATGATGTAGTCTCAATTCCAAATCACAGAGTTCCGATTTACATTTGAGCACATATGGGATGCATTCAAATTCATTTTAAATGACGAATGAAACATCAAAATACCTACTGTTATATCTTCGTACGCCAACGGTTGTATATATTCCGAATAAATAGAATACTCACGCTTACCTGACAGCCAACTTAGCCCGCAAGAGCTACTGACTGCAACCCAGGGGCGAATAGAGAGAAGACTGAAGCTGGAAGATGGGAGAGTTTATTACTCCGACAGTATAATCATAAATCAATCCAAAACACGTGAATATGTATACACATAAAATATGACCTTGTCTGTAATTGGAGATATTCATATAGTAAGAGTAGAAGTTAACCAATCAGCGAATTACATGGGGGGGGGGCAGAAATCAAACTACCAGTCATACTGTAAAATGGTGTGAAAATGACAAGTTAAAAATGTTCAGATCGATAATAATGTTTTAAACAAAATTCGTGCCTTACAACACCTATGAGTAAGACATTTCACCTTAACAGCTGTTCACTACAGCTATGTCTGTTTCAAGTCTTGTGTGAAGATGCTGAGTTCAACTAGCTGACAACTGCAGCTCCCACCTGATTGATGATATAAGATTAAATTATTCAGTTTTGGAGTTTGTGGGGACTTATTTATTGATTTCAAGAACTAGAAAATATGGAACATTGAATCGTGATCCAGTGACCCATTGGTAAGATGCTGACCGAAAAACCTGAAGGTACTGGGTGTGCACTGCTGAGGAGTCCCATAATAAAACGAAACAGCCGTCCAGTGATCCTAGATTTTCAGTGTTTCTGCGGCCCATGATGAATACCAATCTGGAATCATTGGAATTATTCAGTTTGCAAGTTTATGAGAAATTAGTTGATGACTTCAAATATTCCACATAAGTCAAACAGTCATTAAAAGCATGGCAAAGCCAGACAACTGTCTACTTCCAGTTTGAAACTCAATCTTCAACGATTAACTGATCGCTACTAACAGTTCAGCGTTCAATTACGTACACAGAGCT